AGGGAGCAGCTCTGTGGCTGAACCTTCAGGATGTGTCAAGTTCTCTCTCACACCTCAAGAAATGCCCAGGCTGAGGGTAAGGGCAGGTGCAGACCTAAACCAGGAAGGGCAGGCCTGGTGGGGCCTTTGTCAAGGGCAGAGCAGGAAAGGGCATAGGAGAGAGGCCATTCTGGGCTGCTGAGCGAGGAGTGAAGGTCCAGGAATAGGATGAGGAGGGCAAAGGGAAGGCTGATCAGGGGCTTTGGTCAACACCCTCTAACAGCCAGCCAGTAAAGCAAACCTTCTCAGTCCCAGTTTCCACGGCTACCATGCAATTTATTGTCCAAACCTGGATGCTTTTGAGAGTGAAAGTGATAATTATTCCAGGACAACAGGAGTAAAGTAGGCCTGGCCTGGGCAGTGGGATGTGTGGTCACCCTAGCCTGGAGCACAAGTCTGGTCCTTGTGCTCCAACTCTGGCCCACAGGGACACCCTCCCTGTGACTGTTGCCTCCCCTAACCTGGCCGGGGCACTGAAGCTGTATTAACACCCTGGAGCACCCCAACCCACCTCGGAGCCAAGCTTGCGGAAAGGCAGGGTGTCCCCCATCCAAGGTCCTTCTCCCCACACCCTCTGCTTTCCTGATGACTCACATGGGTGCCACCACTGTCTGGGGGAAATGGCAACCCCCAGAGGAATGTGGTCCTTCCTGGTGCCCAGTGGGGGACAACCTGGAGAACCCCTAGGAGCCTGTCCACCCTAGAAGGGTGTGTGGAGAGGCCAGAGTGGGGTTCACCCATGTCCCCCTGCCTGTCCATGACCCCCTGGCAAAACCCTGGGATCCCCAGCCTCCTCCCTCCTACTTGTCCCCCATTTCTAACGGGCTGCCAGGAGGTGTCCCCACATTACCAGTTCCTGGTTCTAGCTCAGCCCTCCCCAGCCCCTGCCTGGGTACATGGCAACAGGTACACACCAGGTCTTGCAGCCTTCAAATCATCTTCCCTGACACAACACTTAAACCCAAGCCTGAACACAATACTCCAAGTAGACAAAACAAAAAGAACAAAAAGACCCTTCCGTGGGAGGAAAAACAAAAACATCACTATAGAACTCAACTTCCCTACAAGATAAAGTCTAACACTTCCTCTATGAACTGACTGCAGAGTAGCTCTCAGCCTTGTCGCCAACACTGCAAGGCTTCTTGCACGCGGCCACCTACCAGCTGCTCTCTATCACTTTCCCCTTTGCTTGTGCCATCCCCACACACCCGGAATGCCTCCTCTGCCTGCTGGATTCCTGCAGCTTCTTTAAGGCCCTCCTAGACCTGACCACCTCTGCCCCAACCCAAGTTCCTGGAGTTGCCCTTACCCAGACCAGGTGTGAGGGCACTCCTGTGCCTCCCGTCTTCCACAGTGGGAGCTTGACCTACCATAGACTCAATAAACAGCAGTTGAACTGGCTGATCCTTCCTACTCACTCCTGGTTCTCCAGAAAGGTGCCCTTGGAGATGGACAAGTTGATTCCCGAGTTGCCTGCTAACTCTGAAATCCCTTAATGCTGCAGCCTAGGCCTCGGCACTCAACCATCACTCTGTTTGAATCCCACCAGCAAAAAATAAATAATTTTTTTTTTAATGCCACTATACCAGAAGTCCTAAGAAATGGCCCAGGAACGCCTGTGGATCCCCAAAACCCTCTCAGGGGGACTGCAAGGTCAAAATTATTTTCATAGTCAAACTACGAGGTTATCTGCCTTTTTACTCACATTTCCTCTCAAGTGTAGAGTGGAGTTTTCCATAACTTTATGAAAGGTAGATTTGCAACAAAATGAATGCAGAAACAAATGAGAACCCAGCTGCTTTCATCAAGCAAAAAATTAAGAACATAAAACAGCGCTGTTCTTTTCACTAAATTTGCTTGTTTTGGAAAAGATTCATTTTTCCTTAAAAATGTTAAAGTTTATTTTAAGGAGAGAGTACGCAAGTGGGGGAGGGACAGAGAGGGAGAGAGAATCCCAAGCAGCACCAGAGTTCCAATTCCACAAACTGTGAGATCATGACCTGAGCTGAAATCAAGAGTCAGACCCTTAACAACTAAGCCACCCAGGTGCCCATAAAAATACATTAACATGTAATCGATTTTTATTTTTAGTAATACATTTTACACTTCTCCATTTGAATCTCTAATACACTAAATGTTGCCAAATGTTATATCCCAGGTAAACAACAACCCCTGGGATCCTCAGTTTTTAATTTGTAAAGAAGTCCTGAGACCCTACATCCTCATACCTTCCATCACCCCTCTGTTGCATCTCTCAGCAATTTCTTTTTTTATTTTTGAGAGAGACAGAGCGCAAGCAGGGGAGGGTCAGAGAGAGAGGGAGACACAGAATCGCAAGGAGGCTGCAGGCCCCGAGCTGTCAGCACAGAGCCCGATGCGGGGCTCAAACTCACGAACCGCAAGATCATGACCTGAGCCCAAGTCAGACACTAACCAGCTGAGCTACCCAGGCACTTTTTTTTTTTTTTAATATTTATTTTTGAGAGAGAGAGAGCATGAGTGGAGGAGGGGCAGAGAGATGGGGGGGAAGACAGAGGATCTGAAGTAGGCTCTGTACTGACAGCCCAGAGCCCAATGTGGGGCTCAAACTGAGCCGAAGTCGGACACTTAACTGACTGAGCTACCCAGTGCCCTAGCAATCAATTTCTTCAGTGATCTCCTTCCCCTCCTACAGGTTCCCCAGCTCTGTGGCTTCATGCCACTCTTCTGAAATTGCTCTGAGGCCACAGAGCACCCTCTGCTATTTCATCTAATGGATGCTCCTCTCTCTTTATTGCCCTGACCATTCAGCAGCATTACCCTGGTTCTTCTATCTCTCCAGCTGCTTGCTCTCCACTTTTCTTGCTTCACTCAAGCCACCAGGGCTGAGCATGGGCCCTGTTCTCTTTTCTCCCCACTTCCAAGGCTTTCAAGTACTGTCTCCGTGTGTATGGCCCCAGATCTCTCACTCCAGCCCATAGTTCTCTCTGAATCACAGACCCACATTCCCCAGCTGCCCCCTGAATATCCATGTGGATGCCATTGCCCTACACAGGCACCCCCAGATCAAACACTCATGCAGAGCTGATCTCTACCCCTGCCCTTCCAGACCTACAACTGTACTAGCAGCCCTGGACCTCTACCCCTCCCTCGATCTCCCCTTCAGCCACACCCAACCCTGCCAGCCTCATGCCCTGGCGACTGTCAGATCTATCCTCCCTTCTGTCCCCACTGCCTCACCTCAGCTCAGGCCACCTTCATCCTTCCCTAGGCTGTCTTTGGCCTTCCTGCTCCAACCTGACAGAAACCACGGCTCCTCTTAAGCAGTCTTTTCACTCAGAATTCACAGGAGGCCCCCACCAACCCAGGAGGGATGCCACCTCTACAGCACAGCTAATCAGGCCCAGCCACAGGATGTGGTCCTGCCACCTGTTCAGTCCCGTGTGCAATCCCCCATGCCACTCTGTCCACTCTGTCCCAGCCAGCCTGACCTTTCTTCCTTCTCTTGCACAAGTTGTTCCTTGCCTCTTTTCACCAGAGACCCCTTCTCAGGCTCAGAGCTTGGCCTCATCATTCCCTCCCCCAGAAAGCCTTCCCTGACCACCACCTCCATGTCAGGAGCCCACTCTTGGCCTCCCATCACAGCACATTTCATGCTAAATGGTCCCATTCAGGGTCTCTTAGTACCCTAAGGAGGAAGATTGCTTCACTGCCATATCCCCGGTGCCCAGGTCAGTGTCTGGCATACAGCAGTTTAGTAAATACTTGAATGAATAAGGCTTGAAGAATGGGAGCCCATGTACAGCTGACAGGAAGCCCTCCCCACCCCTGCTCGGTAGAGAGCAGGGCTCTGTTCTGAGCACCCAAACTGGCTGTCTTGCCCTGCCCTGGCCCAGGAGGCGCTGTCCAAGTCTCCCTGCCACCCGCTGCCCCCTCCTGCTGTGTTGCCCTGACAAACTCCCAGAAGAACTTGGCTGGACTCCACACTTCTCCCATCAATGGTAAGACACGAGGCCACCAACACACCGGGCACAACAGCTGCCCAACTTGGTCAGAGCTGACCCCTCTGGGGACACCCAGACCAATCCAGGGCACCAGCCATAACAGCAGCGGCAGCAAAACATACCACATAGCATCCCGATGTAAACTGATGCTCAGGGGACTGAAGAGTTTTTTGGAGGTCACTAGGCCAGGGAGGCTGGGGTGCAAGCAGGCTCTTCTGCTGCAAGAAGGCAGTCACCTGGGCCCTATACCCATTCTGCAGGCCCAGGACTAGAAGCTGAGCCCACTGAGACGTCATTCTGAGACCCTGGGGCTGGGATTTGCACCTGCGGATCAGGGTGGGGAGGAGCAGCCAGGGGCACACAGAGAGGGAACAAGTAGCAGCCAAGAGGGCACCCTGGCAACTCACTCCCTTGTGAGCAAGACTCCTGGCAGGTCAAGTTAACAGAGAAAGCACAGATCACACCACAGTCCCAGAAGACAACAGTAAACACAATTTTGATCTCAAAATCACAGGGCCACTTAGGTCCTCCAGGCCAGAGTTCTCTGCTATCAGCACTACTCAAGTCATCACCACCCTACTCTAACCCACATGCTCCTTTAGCAGGAAGCCAGGGGTCCAGTCATGCTGTCACGAAGAGGCAGCAGCTAGAGGAAGACCTGGTGTGACCTCTAAGCCTGCTGGCCTATTTGGGGCAGCTGAGAGCAGGAGCAGGGCACCAGGTCTGTGGGAGGAACATTGCCTACAGGGCTGCTGAGTAGAGCCACATGGGCTGAATTCTGCACGACACTTAGTTGTGAATGGTGCCCGTGAGAGTGCTGTGCCCTGGCTGCTGGTCCTGCCTGCTCAGCCCCCTGGAAGAGAGGGATGGAGACCAAGAGGGAGCCCCTGCCCCTCTCATGAGTCTTCCAGGGCTTTACCGTCTTACTTGCCCCAATGTCCCATCTGAAGAAAGAACCACAATGCAGCACAACACAGATAATAAGAGATCAGTTTATGGGTAACAGTATCGGTCAGACTGAGAAGGTACCAGGCCTTTAGTGAGGAGCTATAGGCCTCAACAGACAAGAAAACAGAGGGACAGGGAAACAAAGCCAGATGGCTAAAAGAGGCCCAGGCAACTGTGCCTGGGCTCCAGATCCAGTTCTGCCCTAGGAATGTGGGAGGAAGAGGAAGAGCAAGACCCACAGGTGCCTCAGTTCTTGTAAGGCCCCCTTCTCTTCAATCCCTCCTGTCCCTTACCAGCAGGCTGGGACTTTTCACAGGTGGTATATTTCCGGGGCTAGGAACAGTTGGTCTGGGGATGGGGAGCCAGTGGCCTGGGCGGTATGGGGTTAGCAGCAGCACTGGGGGGAATCTAGTCAGGCACCGCTCAGCAGGGCCCCTATGTCCAGGGCAGGCCCCCCACCCTGCCCACTACACCAACATGGTGCAATAAATAGTTTCAAGTAATAAGTCAGTGTCAGGCAGGAGAACTGGAGACTGCTGGGATAGGCAGGGGCTTAGGGAGAGAAGCTCCCAGCCACCCACCAAGTCCTCTCAGTGACCTCCAGCTGTATCAAGTCCACTGTGTGCCACAGGAGTAGGGATGTGGCCCCATGTCTACGTGGGCACTCCCTGTAGGGGATCAACCCCTCAGACCAGTGCCAAAGCCTGCTCAGTGGGGCAGAAACAGGGCAGCATGGTGCCCACAGCGTCCACGATGGCTGCCAGGTGCTCATCCTGTGCCTGGGGCCCACAGAGCTGCATGAAGTCTGCCAGGCGTAGCAAGTACTCGAGGTTGTGACCAGAGAAGCCGCGACAGGCCAGGATCTGAGTTGCAATGGCCTCTTCAGGCGCAGGGCCCAGGTAACCAGGATTTTGTGGGGTGGCCACATAAGCCAATGCCTTGAGTGGTTGGTCAGGGTTATCTTGGGGGTAGAAGGTGACTTCCTTGGTATCATAGCCACCAAGCACTGCCTCCCGCACATTCAGGTACTTCAGGGCTTCGCTCACCTGCTCACCTTGAACCTGGTATGCCACACCCCAAGTGCAGCCCTAGAAGGAAACACGGACACCGGGGTCAGTCAAAATAGCTCCTGGCTGGTCCCACCTCAGGTCTGCGCTCTATAAGGCAAGTGGGCAGAGGACTGATGAGTCATCTAGTAGCAATACATCAAGCTCATTCTCCCTTTGTTAACAAGGGCTGACAAGGTGGTCTGCCCCAAGGCAGAAGAGGATTCCTACTCAGAGTGTGGCCTGAGAACCAGTGGTATCATCTGTACACTTAAGTCGAATGTGAGGAATTTAAGGCCCCACCCTGGTCCATTTCAATTGAAATCTGCATTTTAACAAGGTCCTCAGAGGGTTCTTGGGAAAAGCACTGAGCTAGACCACCCTTCCGCTCAGCCAGTGTGGCACCTAATCTAGCCTGCAGCCAAGGACACATAAGCTCTCTTAGACCCTCCATGCTAGGCCCTATGGGGTCTCTCTCTTGACTTGGACACTTACCTCATGATCTTCAAGTAGGGTCACCACACGGCCAGGCTGAGGAGAAAGGAAAGATTTTTAAAAAGATAAGTTAGGAATCAGCTCTGCCACCGGTCCTAAAGGAAACCCTTATTAACACTGCTGGCCCAGGCCTCAGAGAACCCCACGCATCCAGGGGAAAGTGGAGAGAGTGATGCATGACTACAGGAGAAACAGACACATGGCAGTGGCCCAAACTGATAAATCAGAAACATTCATCAACATTGTGATCCACAGGATCACAGATTCCAGCCATCACAGTGATCTACTGGGCACAGAAATTTAAGCCACAAAGCCCGAGCACAGGTTTATACACTTCCCCCACCAGCACGGAGGCACCGGCTGCCCAGAGAACCCCAGGGCACTGGTGCCCACTACCCTGCCCCCAACTCCTGCATTCCCCTGAGCATAGTCAGATGCTCACCATCTTGTCGCTGCCCCGATGGAAGGTGTCTCCCTGCCAGAAGCGGCGGCTATAGCCGCGCACGAAACCCACACGGCTGTCACTGTAGGCGAAGTCGGGTCTCCACACGAGAGAGCCGTACCCGAAAATCCACAGGGCTTGAGGGTCACCGTCATCCCGGGGGTGCTGCACCGGTGACGAAGTGGGCGGCGAGGCGGGAGGGGTGTTCTGGGCTGTGGACTCCTGCTTCATGGTGCCGGGCACAGGGACGAGCCCGGCGGCCTCCGGGGCTGGTCTCCGGCGCGGGCACGGAAGGACCAACGGACGCGCACACCTGGCCTGGCACCGCTTGGTCGCTCCAGCTACGCGGCCCCTTCGGAGGCGCCTTTTAAACCCTCCGGCCAGGAGGGCCCCCGCCCACCGCGCCAGCTGTCGCGGTGATTGGGGCGGGGCTAGTCCCCTTTTGACCAATCACCTTCGTGTTTTGCTTCCCGGTTAACCGCGCCGCCCTCTGAGTGGGTAACTGAGGGACCTGCCCCAGACCCAGCTCGCCCGCTGATTGGCTCGGTTCCACCTCTGTAGCAAATCTGGCAGGAGTGATGCAACCGCGGGGGAGGTTTTCCCAGCTCCGGCATGCAGCAAGGGCACCTCGGATTGCGTCAGGCGGCGGGCAGTGGGCACCGACGCGGGCACTGGTCGTCTCTCCGGCAGCCCCTCCTTGGCCTGAGCCCTTCAGCAACCAGGACCGGCGGGTCACAGGTGGGCGTCGCCTCAGCATCCCTGCGGGTGCACCTGGTCGGGTCACAGCCCCTAGTTAGCACGGACTCATTACCAGGGCCTGTGCAGGGCACGTCCCGCAGGAGCTCTATGGGAGGCGTAAGCGCCCGTCTCTGGGGCTCCTCCGCCTGGGAGCACGTCACGTACTCTAGAGAAGCAGTTGGAGACACCTTCTGCATTCCACACAGGTGCCTCACGCGGTTGGCCCGCGTGAGCAAATGGAGAAACTGAGTCACGGGGCTGGCAAGTAGTTCTGCAGAAGCTGCGAGGCTGAGTCAGGCCGGGCGCCGGGAACCTGCGGGCCTCACGTGAGGGGTACGCCCAGGGCCAGTTGTGGAACCCTCTGAGCCCAGGTAGGCTTGGGGTGGAGCACTTGCAACCACCTATGTCACTTTGGTGGTGGTGTCCAGACCTGCGGAGAGAGGCCATAAAGACAGGCCTCTGTCCTTCTCTGCCCTGAGGCGAGAAGTTTAGTTCTGCTCAGACCTGAAACTTTTGCAACAATGATTGGGTTCATCCTTAGGCACAGAAGTTCCAGGACCTTCCGTAAGCGGCAGGCAACGCAGCCAAATTGACGCTCCCGTACGACGGTGAGCAGCTACCGGCCTTCTCTCTTGGCTGTTGGCCTCCTGACCCACGGAGGGTCTGCAGGCTGTCCGGGTTGAGCCCCCTCAGCAGGGCAAAAGGCTGCCCCTGGGGATGTCTCTGGCTGGAAAGGGGGAACCGAGGCAGCAGCAGACCTGCCCCGCCCCCCACACTGCAGAACAGCCTCGGGGAAACTGCTAATGAGGTCCAGGGTGAGCCCTCTGGCAGGCGAAATGGGCAATATTGCTTCTCATTATATTCTAATTAGATGTTTAAACTAAAAATCACCTGCAAACTTAAAGTAGTCATTCCAAAAGTGTTTAAGATACACACAAAGGTGTGTAAGTTGCACTTCAGTGTGTAGAGTATGAAGCTAGTCTGTAAAAGCAAAATAAATTACACATTAATATTTGTAAAAGAAGTAATCTGGAAGCATATACCTAAACTGTTAACAGAGCCTGTCACCAGAGAAGAACTTGCAATATTAAATGTAAATGTTTATGAAAAAGTTTGCTGGTGGTGGTAGCTGTTGTTTGTTTGTTTTGGTTTTGTCTCTTACAAGGAGCATGAATTACTTTTCCAATTGGAAAAAAAATACAGGCAAAATGGTTGTTTCTGGTCATTTCTTTCCCTCCGTTCTCCATGTTCACTCTCCCCTCTTCTGTACCCCCCATCCTGTCCCCTTTAGTCCATATGGCCGCCTCCTTTGCTACTAGCTTCTTAAGAAGAATATCCCCACCTCCTCTACCACCTTTCAGTAGTGGGATAGGAGGCAGGAAACTGGTACCAGCATATTCCTGGAAGCATCTAAATTTGCACAAACAGTGCTTTGAAACAGCAACTTAGTGATACAAATCAAAAGTCAAAATGTCCCTGGCCTTTGACCCAATACTTCCACTCCAGGAAATTATTCAAAATATGGGAAACGTCATATGCCTGAAGATTTTTCAATGCATTGTTATTTATTATAACAAAACAAAAGAAGAGAAACTACCTAAATATCCCAAAATAGCTAAACATTTAAGTAACTTATGGGATTACTCCGCGTGGTGGAGAACTACACACAAAGAGAATAACTTAAATATGTAGCAATAGATGATTAAATAAATTTGATATAGATATAAAATTAAAGCTCTGTGGTCATTAAAACAGATGTATGGGGGCGCCTGGGTGGCGCAGTCGGTTAAGCGTCCGACTTCAGCCAGGTCACGATCTCACGGTCCGTGAGTTCGAGCCCCGCGTCAGGCTCTGGGCTGATGGCTCGGAGCCTGGAACCTGTTTCCGATTCTGTGTCTGCCTCTCTCTCTGCCCTTCCCCCGTTCATGCTCTGTCTCTGTCTGTCCCATAAATAAATAAAAACGTTGAGAAAAAAAAAAAATTAAAAAAAAAAAAAAAGATGTATGCCTATACTTACTGACATGGGAACCTATCTGTGATGTATGATTCAGGGAAAAAACAAGTTATAAAATAACAAACTGTTTTAAACTTAAAAAGTCTATAGTGTGTATTTGCATAGAAAAAAATCCAGAAGAACACATAAAAAGTTCAGTGATTACCTCTGAGTGGTAGGACTATATGAGATTTGCACTTTCTTTTTTATGCCAATTCAGATGGTCTGGGATTGTCTAAGAGAACATAAACCACTTCTATTTAGAAAAGAAAAAGTCAAAATAAAAATGCATTATGAGGGGCACCTGAGTGGCTCAGTCAGTTCTCACGGTTGTGAGTTCAAGCCCCACATTGGGCTCCATGCTGGGTGTGAAGCCTACTTAAAAAAAAATCCACTAGGAAAACAATGTAGTAAAAATGCCTAGGACTACATAGTCAGGCAAAAATGCATAATAACCATCACATGCACTATGATTAAAACTATTAAAACAATAACAAGATACATGAGGAAAAAGAGGGGGGCATCATATACTAATGATGGATGTGTTGCAGGTGATTCTTTGTTTTTCAAGGCTTATGAAATGTAATTTTTAATAAAAGTTTAAAGGGTAGGTAAGGTTTTCTGGGGGCTGAGGCAGAGAGTATATTGGAATTACCTGGGGAACATTTTCAAGAACAGACCTCCTCCCAACGGAACAAAGCCGGCTGGTGAGGTCATCAGTAAGATCCACTTGCTCCAGGAAAGTTAGGCACTTCCTCCTCTGTGCTTCCACAACCTCTTACCTCGCTTCTGTTTATCGGTCCCCTCCACCTCATGCCTATAACAGAAATCATTTATTGAATGCTTACCATGAGCTAGGTAGTTTGCTAAATGCTTTACATTCGTTCTAATTACAAACTTCTCCCCTACTTTGTGAGGGAAATATCATTTCACAGGTGAGCAAACTGAGCATAGGGAAGTTAGGTAACCCACTCGTGGTGATGCCACAGCAAGGCAAGTTGTGGAGCCTAGATCTAAAGGCAGGCAGTCCCACCCCAGAGCCTCCTTGCTGGTAAGCTTTGCATATCCTGCTTTCTGAGAACCTGAGAGCTCCCTGAAAGCAGACTTCATCTTTTAAGCCCCCAGGGGACCCACACAGGACTGGCTCATGGAAGGTTCTCCATAAAAGTAGGTAGAAGAAGTGGAGCTTTTACTTTGAAAAGGCCAGGGCAGCCTGGGGTTCAGAGGAGGAGCAATCTTGCAAGACACAGGTTCAACCTTGACCTCTCAAAATAGGAATCACCACAAAAGTTGGCCCAGGGGTCTTGGCCACCTTCCTGGGAAGAAGTCTTGCCTGTTTCCATTCCTCACTTATCCTTGCCAACACGTGTCTCCTTCCCTTCCAGTGGGACACTGGAGTAAATCATCCCACTCAGCAGTGCCTCTGTAACATCTGCAAGCAGCCATCCCCACTTTCTTCTGAAAATCCCCTCAGGAATGGGCTGCAGATGTCATACCCACAGAAGTACCAGCTCATGAGAGAGGATCACCTCCACCTCGAAGAGTGGCAAATGATTTGCACATGAGGCACCCATGATGGCTTCCTTTTTTAGTCCTTTCCCAACTTAATCTTTCCTTATTGTTCCCCTTCAGGCAATCACTTCTCATTTCCTTATAATCTGTTCCTACTCACTTCTTCAGTCACTGCAATCAACTTCTGGTATCATTGGACACAATCATCTGAAACAAGGGAAGGATGTGTTTGGAAGCTGGGGGAAATCATACTAATTTATTATGCTAACCGATGAGGTTACTTGATTAAAGCTGCTGATCCCCAAGGGATGAAAACGCTTCCTAGACATGGGCTCTAAACCCAGCTTGCCCAGATTTGAGCCCAGCTCCATCATTTACCATCAGGCTCACTGTCTCTGGTTCTCAGTTTTCTCAACTGTGAAATGAGGAATAATAGTATCCATCTTGTAGGTTCTGATGAGGATTGAAAGAAATAAAACCTCAGGGGAACCTGGGTGGTTCAGTCGGTTAAGCATCTGACTGGCTCAGGTCATGTTTTCGCAGTTTGTGAGTTCCAGCCCCACATCCGGCTCTGTGCTGACAGCTCGGAACCTGGAGCCTCCTGCAGATTCTGTGTCTCCGTCTCACTCTGTCTCTCAAAAATAAACAGAGAGAGAGAAAGAAAGAACACCTCAGCCAGCACCTGGTTCCTTATTTTTACTACAAACTATACACTTTCCATTTTATTCAGGATAGAGCCATAGTCTACTATTGTGATTTATAACAAGAAATATATATTTGGTCTTCATCCTGTTCCTGGCACAGAGCGCCTTGGAATTTCCTCAGTGATAAGAGTGAGAAAGGTGATAAACAAGCTCATATCAACCACACCTGAATTTAGTTTATTTGTGTGTGGGGGGGGGAACTTTTGGGAAGTCCCTAAGGATTGGGGGTGGGGGAAAAGGGCTGGTTGCCAGGGAAACCAGCCATGTGATTAGAGGGCTGGAACTCTCAGCCCCAACTTCCATCCTCTGGGTAAGGGAGAGAAGGGCTAGAGATTGAGTTCAGTCACCTGTGGCCAATGATTTGCTCAACCAATGATTCAATCAACCACACCTATGTAATGAAGCCTCCATAAAAACCCCAAAGGAGAGGGGTGTGGTCAGCTTCTGGGTTGTTAAATTCACGGGGGCGCTAGAAGGATGGCCTACTGAAAGAGGACCTGAAAGCTCTGGGCCCCTTCCCGCATACCTTGCCCTATGGGTCTCTTCCTTCTGGCTGCTCTTGAGTTCTATCCGCTTATAATAAGCCAGTAATTTAGTAATCTGAGTTCTGTGATCCACTCCAGCAAATTAATCAAACCTAAAGAGGGAGTTGTGGGAACCTCTACCCTATCTATAGTGGTTAGAAGCACAAGTAACCTGGACTTTTCACTGGCATCTGAGGTGGAGGCAGTCTTGTGGGGCTGATGCCGTCATCAGGCAGATGGTGTCAGGACTAAGTTAAATTGCCGCATGTCCAGCTGGGGTGGCAGAATTGCTGGGTATGTGGAAAACCCCCAGGTCTGGTGTCAGAAGTGAAGTATGGTCATAGCAGAGTATTGAGAATAGATGAAAAGCACAGGAAGGGTTTGTTTTTCTTCACTCTACCTCTCGAGTCTGACATAGGTCAGGAAAGTGGTCCTGGTATTGTTATTGATTCAATGGAGGAAACCTCCGGTTATCTCACCCTCCGGTCTTGCCATACAATTCACAGATTTTTCTAGCAAATAGGGTGCTAAAGGAGTGTTTTTAAAAGGCAGGACGGGTGACAGTCTGCCCCAAGCCCATTATTAATAGAACAGTTGCTTGAGCTGAGATTTTCTGTGCATGCTTGGAGGGGTGGGATGCTAAAATAAATGAGGGGCACCTGGGTGGCTCAGCTGGTTAAGCATTCGTCTCTTGGTTTTGGGCTTAGGTCATGATCTCACAGCTCATGGGTTGGAGCCCTGCATCGGGCTCTGCAGTGACAGCACAGGGCCTACTTGGGATTCTCTCTCCCTCTCTCTTTATCTCTCCCCTGCTGGTGCATGCACACGTGCACCCACACTCTCTCTCTCAAAATAAACTTTAAAAGATAAATGGGGGCACCTGGGTGGCTCAGTCGGTTAAGCGTCCGACTTCGGCTTAGGTCATGATCTCATGGTTTGTGGTCTCGAGCCCCACATTGGGCTCCATGCTGACAGCTCAGAGCCTGGAGCCTGCTTCGGATTCTGTATCTCCCTCTCTTTCTGCTCCTCCCCCACTCAAGCTCTCTCTCTTGCTGTCTCTCTCTCAAAAATAAACATTAAAAACATTTGAAAAATTTAATGAATAAAATAAATAATGCACAATCTATGAGGGGCTACACCTCCCACAGACTTCTGGGAGATAAGCGTGTCCTCACTTCCTTGGCTCATGTGCAAGGACATAGGTCCTGTCAACACTGGCAAAAGGATGGGGAGAAGGAATGGCTGAATCCTCCAATACAGTCTGCCTCAGGTGAGGGAGAAAAGACAGCTGTTGTGCTGGTTATGCCGGCTGGATCCAGGGCCAAGGGGGGAAGCTTACTTGGTTCCCTGTCTACAAAAGCAGGGACTGGAAGGATTCTCCCTTCCTGTGTCCTGACAGAAGGGTGCATGGGATAGTGGGAAAAACTGGCTCCACTTCTAGCTTCTAAGGAGCGAGGAAGACACAGCTGATAGGGCACCCT